TTGAAAAATAACAAAGGGCAATAACTCAAAAATCATGCAAGGTAGAGTTATCATTCTTGTGCACTGCACTCCTCCTCAATGAGGTCTATCCACCTATGAAGTTTCAAGTTGAAAACTAAAATACTTTTAGAGATATGCTCCGGACAAAAATGTCGGACGGAGGGACGGACGGAAGGTCGGACGGACGGAGACTATTTCTATATCCTCCGCCGAAATTTTTCGGCGGGGATAATAAACATAGGTACTTTAAATATTTTATGTAAATAAAATAAGAATCCCTGTAAAACAAATATAATCGCATGTATATCATATACAATTTAATTTTATTTTTTGTATTTATATTGAATCATTATGGTACAAAATAAACTTGAATTTGATGCATTCAAATCCTTAAAATAAATATCATACTTTTAAAAACATATCCATATCCAAAGGTTTTTCTAGTCAACATTTTTCCGTATTATTCATGCAGCCATAGAAAGGTAAATTTAAAAAAATGCTGCCTAAAAAAATTTTCATTGGCACTCCATAATTTTTAAAACACAAGTCTTAATCCAGTTTGTGACCTCAATTTGTTAACACACATCGATTGCATCATGCTTACCATATTTGGCAGTAGGGAGTAGACGCTAGGTCACTTGATACCTGTATACATTATAATCCGTGTAATTGAGGCAGAGGTTTGTTTGAAGAGTACTAACTACTGGATTATAATTGCACTTAATTATTTTGTCCCTCTGGGTGTTAAAACAGGTATTATTTATCTGATTAACGGACAATTAAAAGGTGTGGAAGTTGTTTAAGGTAGACCATTGGTAATGCATTACCTCCACTCTGAAGAGTATTCAAATAGGATAGAATCACTTGACAATAGGGCTGGGGCGAGTATCCGAGTACTCGGATAATCACGAATCAAAGTGAAAACTCGAGTTTGAATATTCGTAAGCCCAGCGATCGTGGATCGCGATCTTATTTGTTTATATACATTCACTGTTTCTCACACACTTAAAGTCGAGAAAAATACGATTTGAGTATAAATTATGGGAAGCTTACCTAAATACAATTTGCCGGTTAAAGACCATGTACCATGATGCCGAGCTAGGAAGAAATTGGTTTCAAAAAACAAAACAAAAATACTCATCCAAAGAATAAAAACATAAACCTGGTTGCATATATGTTTAATGTTAAGTATTGTTTTTTTTAAAAATAAACATGTTTTTAGAACTAATGTACATGTTTTATGAGTGTCTTGATAACAAAAGATTTGTGGTTCGATAAAATGTGAATCGTAAGTGCTGAATCGTCGATCGGATCGGATCGTGACTTATCAGATGATCCGCACCCCTACTTGACAACTACATTGAAATTGAGGGGCGTGGGTTCACACCCCAGATGGGCCAACTTTTTTTTCTTTCTTTTTTTTCTTTTTAACATTATTTTTGTATCTCTCAGAACCCTTATGGAAGAAAAAAGTGTTTGATTTTAATTAAATAATTATTGTAAGTATTTATTTGCTAAATATTGCCAAATTTAATAGCAAATATGATACCAGATATTTTCAAAATTTAATAAAATTGAAACTACAAGGTAAAAGTATTTTATATTTTGCATATTTAACCAATATACCTTTAAGAAAATTTAGGCAAACTTTGAAAACAGCCCCTCATGTTTCTTTTTGTGACAATGTAAATTGCAATAAAACCCACAATCTCTTGGGCTAGGTATAAAAAGATTGCAGATACAAAACATTTTTTTGGTTTGTTGTAATGATTCAGTCTGTGAAATTACGGTTTAAAAATTGTTGTCATTCAGGCAAGCATTTCAAGAAGTAAAAAGTCCGAAGTACGAGGGCTGTTCAAAAAGTTCGTGGACTGCGGCTCTAATGTTCACATCTTTTAATTTGCGTATATGATTTTACAAGAGACATATATGAAAATATGTCCTTAATAAACAGTGAAAAAATCAATACAATATGTTTACAAATAAAAATTCTGTGACATATACAAATCACAAGGGGCAGACTTCCCGAAAGTTGAAAAAAACTGTCAGACATTCGGTCTGACAAACCATGAAAATCTGTCGGACCGAAACAAAATCTGTCGGACCAAATAAAATTGATCAAAATCAAAGAAAAACTTGTGTTTGTATTTCTAAGACACTTTTTGTTTTTTATTTTTTCGCCGTAAAAATCGGCACAATCCGTACAGCGCATTACATCTACTCCCTGTCATACACCAATGATTCATGGTTCTGCTTCCATTTTTCATTAAATTTCGTCTCAGGTCTATTCTTTTCATCCTTTTATTGCTGTTCTGCGCACTCTTCTGACGTAGATTTTCGGTTTTTCCCAGGTTTGGCACCTTTAGCGACGCCATTTTGTATACATGCGGCTTGGATAAAAGCCGGACAGTCGGACCGATCCGGAATAAAAAATTGTCGGACCTGATCAAAATTTATCGGACATGTCCGTCGGACCGACGTATTTCGGGAAGTCTGAAGGGGTGCAAAATCCGGCGCATGCTGATGATGAAACAAAATGACGTTCGTGACGTCGCAATATAAATGAAACATTTTACTAGCGTCATTGTTTCTGAAAGAACTCTTTTTAGTGTTCAATATCTGCGGATCATATACCAAAACCATTTTTCTGTTTGCGATGATGACCCGAGATATAAAGTGGTCATCTATTCGCTCCATTCTCCGTATAAAGGTCCGAGTGCCACCTACTTTCCGCTCTTTATCGGGATTTTGAGTAATTTAGACACTAAACGGACAGTGTTATTAAGTTAATTCAATTGTTGATTGATAGTATCAATTTGAAACCGCCCTTGTCCGATCTTTAAACAATATGATTATCGATGATAAAGAAAATATTTTATAAACTGACAATTATTCTATGCGGTAAATCTACTGAACACCGGCTAGCATTAATTATCAAACGGACCAGGGTAAATACAGGAAATACAAATAATAACTACAAGTATTTAATGTAAATACGCATATATCCTGATGAATGAAATAAAATATCATTTTAATTAAATTAAATTGTTTTGTCAGAATTGAATGCATAGACCCGATGCAGAAATTAAACATGTCGGACATCTCGCAAAACTGTCATAATGCCTGAACTTCTGTAGATCTTTTGCATTTGACGTAACAAACGTCCCAACAATTTGCCGCTTAAATTATTCGTTGCCCTTTCTGTCCGTGGGCATGAATTTGCCGAATTTGAATCGCTTGCGCGACCTGAAACCAAGAGACTTGCTCGACAACTCATTGTTTTTTGTTAATTTAATCACCTTATAAAAATATAAAGGAGTATACCACATTTATTTGTAAATATTTCCAAAAGAGCGAATTTCTAGTTTTTAAACGGGGTTTATACTTCCCAACTTACCCGTCTGTCTACTGCTGCTCAAAACGTGTTTGTTCAGCTATTCAAAGTCCAAACGACGCCAAAAGTCAGATTTATGTCATTTAAATATTAATAGATGATTACTTGTATTTAACTGCATAAAACAATCATTTAATTTGTTTCAACATTTGTTTATATTTAAACATTATATGAAAATTTCGGGGTGCGCCGATGTTGCGTTGCCATGGTTATTAAAGTGCACATAACTCGTAAAGGAAATAAAAGTTAACAATAAAAGTAAATCTTACTTTTGAAAATAAAGACACTCTTTCGATTCATATCCACTAAGGGTGTTTTTATGAACCAAGTAAAAAATGACAGCAAAAATCCACGAACTTTTTGAACATACCTCGTAAAAACACCTCCAAGCAATTATTGATCAAATCTGCAAACTTATCTTCAGTGAGAAACAGTCATAAATATAAACACACTAATTGTATTTGATATCTTGCATTTTATCACTATTCGTTGACATTTGATTAATACTTTCTGCAAATTTTTACTTGTCCATCGGGCAAGTAAACTTAAAAATTGGTTGTCCAGACCAAAAAATTGGTTGTCTCGGGCAATAGGACAACTGCTTATTTCGCAGACTGATGATTGCAAATAACATTATATGCACAATGTATATAAACTAGACCTATCACTGAAGGTGATTAATACCCCCACCAGCAACTTTGACTTTTTGAAAAATAAGTAGTTTGAAGAAAAATTTGAACACAAACTTTCAACTGTGTACAAAGAAATATTTCAATTAATTGTATTTCAAACTGGGGTCTCCAAATAAGCTTGCTATACACTAAGTTTGATTACAATATCTCATTCCTAACTACAGTTATTGTCCAGAAACCATTTTTTTATTTTTAGTAACTGTGACCTTGACCCCAGGAGGTCCAAATGCAATACCAGCCGGGGTCTTCATATAAGCTTGCTATACACCAAGTTCGATTACAATACAAATGTATCTCATTCCTAACTCTAGTTATTGTCTGGCCACCATTTTTCAATTTTTAGTAACACTGTTACTGTGACCTTGACCCCAGGGGGTCCAAATGCAATACCAACCCAGGTCTTCATGTAAGCTTCCTATACACCAAGTTTGATTACAATATCTCATTTTTAACTCGTTATTACCCGGAAACCATTTTTCTATTTTTAGTAATGGTGACCTTGACCTAGATCCCAGGGGGTCCAAATGCATTACCAACCGGGGTCTTCATATAAGCTTGCTATACACCAAGTTTGATTACAATATCTCATTCCTATCTCTAGTTATTGTCCGGAAACCATTTTTCTATTTTTAGTAATGGTGACCTTGACCTTGACCCCAGGGGGTCCAAATGCAATACCAACTGGAGTCTCCACATAAGGTTCCAATATATTAAGTTTGATTACGATACCTCATTCCCAACTCTAGTTATCGTCCGAGACCATGATGTGGACCAACTGACGGACTGACCGACCGACAAGCTGACTCCTATATACCCCCCTAAACTTCGTTTGTGGGGGTATAATAATAAAATCCAAAGATTTTAGACCTAAAATTTCATCCCATTTATAACATAAATCTGGTTAAAAAATATACCTGGTCCTTCTATATTTGCCTGTATATCTGTAATATCTTCTTCATTTGGAATAACCTTGATGCCTTCAGGTGGGTCTTTTGTCAGCCCCGCCACTTCTTTTGCAATATTTCGAATAATTTGTGGAGATAAATTTTCAACATTTGAACTCTGCAAAAAAACAAGAACGTGTTTGTTAAACACAAATGCCCCCGGCTCAGATTCTTGTCAGTAAAAATATTTCAAAAAATGTTTACCCATTCACTCTGAAAATTGCCAAAAAAATGTAAACACAGCTATGGAACTTGACAGAGTCATGGTGTTTTGTAATTGTGAAAAATGTAAGTTGGGTCATTGCTATTACTTTAGATGAAGTTGAAAAAGATTCAACTTTATCATATCTATGTACATGTACATGTAAGACTTTACCTTGAACCCAGTGACCCCGAACTACATCCGAACTTAAAGGACCACCTTAGGTATGTTCCTTGTAAATATGAGACATTGGTAAAAAAATAATGCGAAGGCTGTATAAAAAAGTGTAAAAATCTATTTTTAGCACTGGTGACATTGATCCAACTGATCCCTACTCAATTCAAGGATGCAAGTTATTATCCTTTCAAATACATGTATGAAACAAGATTGCATTTGAGAAAAATGTTAAATAGTAGTATAGGAACAGATTATTTTGTTTCTATACAATTGAAGATTGTCATAATGCATAGATCCCTGACCTATCTAAAGAGTTTAATTAAAAACAATCTTGATACAGGTCCACCAAACAACATTTCATGTCAAATATCTAAGCTGTAGCTTTCTCAAATATAGAAAACCTTTGTTTTAGTTTCTGTTTTTGCAATGTGTACATAATGAAAATCAATGCCCCCAGGCAGGGGCAATTGTGACACCAGGGGAAAATTTGGAAAACTTTGGAAGAGGACCAATAGATGATATTATATTGCAAACATCAAAGCTCTAAGCCTTGTACTTTCAGACAAGAAGATTTAATTTTTTACTTTATGTACATAGTGAAAATCAATGACCCCTGCAGTTGGGGTCGATTTTGACCCCAGGGATATAATTTGAACAATCCTGGTAGAGCTTCACTTCGCTAAGTCTCATGCCAAATATTTAACCTCTAGCCTTTGTCAATTCAGACAAGAAGATTTTTCAAGGTTTTTACTTTATACATAAAAGGAAAACTATCGCCTCTGGGGCAGGGCAATTTTAACACTATGGCAGTGTTTTTTTCCTTATATAACTGATACCGGAAAACGGCACCGTTCCCAATAGAAAATAGACAACAAATTTCCCAATTCATGACTGATAAATTCCAAAAATAACACTGAAAATTTCCTCAAAAATCGGCAAATTGAAAGGTAAACAAAAACAGAAATACCATTGATAAGTGATATGCGATAAAAACCAAGTATAACCACATGAGTGATATTCGTACCCAGTTAATTTTGTACTTTTCGTGTTTCACACCTTAACATGATTTATGTACAATTGTTATGATTATCTTTTTTTTTCAACCTCAAGAAGCACAAAGTTAATAATACATGGTTTTAAAGTGTTTATCATGCATAATTCTGGAAAAAAAGAAATTCCCAAAGAATATTTTGCATCTTATGTAAAATTCCCAATTTGAGTCAAACCGATGGATTTCTTTCCCAATCTGTCCGGTTACAACCGGCACCATTCCCAAAGTAGGGGAAAAAAACACTGCACTAGGGGCACATTTAAAACAACTTTAGTAGAGGATTTCTGCATGGAATGAAATTCTCTGAACAACTTTGGAAGCCCTTCACCAAAGGATCAATCCTGCCAAGTTTGGTTGAAATTGAATGGACTAGTGGTTTTTCACAAGATTTTTTAAGTTCACTATAATACAATATAATCTATAGAACACGCACGCATGCAAGCACACACACACTCACACAGGTGAATCGCTATATGCCACCACATAAAAATGGAAGCCGTAGTTATCTAACTTGCCCAGATCATGTACATTGTGTTGATAAGTGTGAGAAGTATGAAACCATTGGTATAGGTAGTACTTAAGAAAAATCCAACTTGCCGTTTTAGTTTAACCTCGTTCGGACAGGCAGACGGTTTGATTACTATATGCGTGGGGGCATAAAAACACTGCCCATATTCAAACTTGACCTAGAAATCATCAAAACAAACTTTCAGACAAATATCCAGGATATCTGAACCACTAGTGTCACTGTGTGTTAACAAGATTTTTCTATTTTTAGCTCCAGTGACCTAGTTTTTCATCTAAGATAACCCATGTTCGAATTCATCCGAGTAAACAGCCTTTATTCGAATGTAAAATACAGTGAAAAAATAACTGTAGACATTAAACAACTGTTATAAAATTGATAGATAAAAAATATGTCCCGGTGACAAATTAATATGCTATAAAGGACGCTCTGATTGGCTGATGTTCTACATCCCAAAATATAGGTGGGAACAGAATCACTGATTGAAATCTGTTTGGGATTTAGCGTTTTCGGCAAAATGACTGTTTGATCTTGCTGAACATTATCATCCATGATTATTGTTTAAATGGTGAAATACTGAACATTTACTATGGAAAAGAGACAATAATATTGTTGTTGTTGTGATTTTCCTGCAGACTTTTTTCTTTTTCTTTTTTTTCTTTTATTTTTCCAAAGATTTGAGCCGGCCAAAAAAAAGCTTGACGGTCAATTTTTCTAAATGACAACCCTGCTCATCTCCTCAATAATTAATTATGCAACCTAATGTCGTATCAGCATGCTTAACAATTTACAAAATTCATTTTAATGCAATTATGTTGCAGGTCGCAAGACTGGTGGTGTTGGTAGTTTCCACTCTTGATCACGGCAGTAAGCCACATTTAATTTACCAGAGCACAATTCAACCACCTCATATAGTTTCTGGACGGCTGTCAAGCAGTTTACCAGTACCAGTTGCCCTCATTTCCACAAGGAACTGGAACATCTGTACATGCCAGAGCTGAGTTACAACCAGTGATTTTTCTACTTATATAACAGACTCCGAAAAAAGGCCTCTTCCCAATTGAAATTTTCTTTAAAATCATGCAGTTTTCCCAAAAATCTGAACTTAAACCAGCTTTTTTACTTCCCAAATCAGCAATTTTAGCGATAATTTTTCCCAAAATCAAGAGGCTAAGGCCTCTTCCCAATTAAGCGAGAAAAATCACTGACAACAGTGTTCGCGTTTACTGAGTAAACATCAATTTACTCGCTAACATTGCCAGGGAGGAAAGAAAAAAAGGGCCATTAAGTCCCTTAGGACGAAACACTTTTTCCCCGATAATTGGTTAATTCTGCTCATAAGTTTTTTTGCTCTGATTGAAAACGGATTTTCTATTCCCTTTAAATAAATTGTATTTTAAGAACTTGACTTTCACCTCATTTTGATTTGTTCCCTTCTCATAAGCAATGCAGATTTATATCCCAAACATAGACTAGGAGCAAGTGCTTGGCCCCGTTTCAGGCCAACCTAGATCAATGGTATCCGTGAACAACAACAGTCACTGTCGTCAACATGTTTTGACATAAGAGACAGTTCCATTGGTAAGTAGGAAAATGGTACCTTTGAAAAGGTAAAATACACATGGTACAGATCTGCCAAGAATTTGAAAGTACTGGGCCCACTTGGTCTGAAAATGATGGGCCATTTTTACCAAAGTATGGGCCTTGAGAAAATAAGTAAACATCGACTTAAATAACTGTTAAAAAGTTTGTAGATAATTGAATTTCCCTGGTAGTAAAACTTAAATCATATTTTATGACATGTAGTTCACTTATGATTCAGTACTAAACCAATAATTAAAAATTATGCCTACATGGTAACTTTCTAACTAATATTATTAAATTGCAAGCAAAATATTTTTCAAATGGCTGCTCAAAAATTTGATATGCAAATTTATTCACATAATTGCTGGTTCTTACTTCTAATGTCTAAATTAAAGAGTCTAATACTGTGCATTATCCATTTAATTGTTCCTACTTTGCACCAAATGTCCCTTACCACTGTATATTGACGAATTTTATTGCCCCTTGTATGCCTCTGTGTAGACAGCATACATCAAAGACACTTGCCGACAGACCTTTTGATCATGAAAAAAGTCATGCACAATGTTTCCCTGATTGGTTAATCACCCTGTCAAATATTCTGATGACGAAATAGACATCTTTTTTTTACACTTCATCAGTGAACTTGAGTGACCTTAGGTACACCTGTCAGATTATAGTTATACTGTAACTTACAGCATTTCTTAAAATATCAACACTTTTTTTTTCAGTTACCGATAATCATATTAAATATTAAGTAGTTGTATAATTTGTTTGTTTGTTTGTTTTATTGGATTCAATTTACGTAGTAGAAATGAGTATTTGTCTGGGAAAGGGATTATGAGAAGAAATGCGGTAAGTAGATAACATGGACAAAAGCTATAGGGGAATGGATAACCTCAAGAATATGCATAATTACAGGGGAATGGGTAACATGTTGCTGTTGGTACCAGTTTTGACTGGATGACTAAATAACCCAGCAAACAGTTTTGTTTTCTTATAAGTCTGGCACAGATTTTATATGCGCCCATGGCCCTTTGCTGCGCCATTCTCATTTTTTTAGCGCCAATGGCGCAAAATCGCGTCCTCGGCAGATCTCTGACATGGAATTATGTACAAAAATATAAAGTAGTTAAATAAACCCTTATCCATTGCTTATATTAATGCTAGATATGAAGTAAATTTAAGTAATCAGCAGTCTCTTTTCCACATTCTTTCAAGACTGGAGACCATTTAAGACTGTAGACCGTCGATTTGCAGGCTCTTTAACATGACGAATTGAACATGAATGTTAATGTTTTTTCAGTTAATTGACCTTAAGCCCTAACCTCTTAAATATTATTCAAGAGCACACAGCCTTCAAATTATAGATAAAGTACACAAATTTGATTGTATTATGAAGTTATGCAAACATTGACATTTTTGTAATTGAGGACTCATCACATTTTAATTGGGACTTAACAGATCTATTAGCACTGAGTGCAGTGAGTCCCATGTACTCTGTAAAAAAAGGGAAAATTGCTAACACTGGTTACAACTTGCGAATTATCGTAGAAGAGATTTCATGATCAACAACAATAAAAGCAGGGATTTTTTCCAGGATTTTGGGAACATAGCCCATACCCATGGAATTGGGAATTTCATCGGTGTTTTGTTAAAAAATGGGGAAAAATTGCATAACTGAAATTTTGCAGTGATTTAATGAATGCAAACAATTGCTGTCTAGGATGGCATCTTCAAACATTTCAGCACTATAACAGTGAAGCAGCTTTTGTTTTCAAAGTTTTTATTCAATATTTTTATTTCGTAACTTCCAATGGGGATTTTTTTTCTCTTGTTTGTTTGTTTCATTTTACATGTTTTCCCAACAGTATTTCAGTCATATAGGGCGGGTAGTTTCCTAACCATCGTTCCTGGAGAGTTACACCAGTACTAGACTACCTTAATCCATGCTAAACTACCAAAGCATCTCATGGGGATCGAACCCACGCCAGAGAGGTAACTGGATTAAAAGTCATCGACTCTAACCCCTCAACCACAGAGGCGGTCCTAAATTGGGAAAATAATTAATATAATATTTTCAATTAGGAATATGACCCAATAACGGCTATAAAATAAGGAAGTGACTAGCCGTACGACCCATACGTGAGTCACGTACCGCTAGCCAGGACACACTGTATTGGCTAGCCATATAGCACTTTTCAAAATTATATGGAAGTCCAAAATGCATATGTTATTTTAGCGAGGATTTTAACAAAGAAACAGCAATTGCCTTTGTATTTTTACTTTTAAGAGATAAATCGCCATATTGGCTACAGTAAAAAAAATAAGAATATCGACCAGAGGGCGAGAAAAAAAAGAGCGTTTGGTTGCAGTTGATGACAAAATTGTGATAATAATTTGTTTCATAAGTTTAATTTTCGACACTTTTAAAAATGAAAAAATGCACCGAAAATAATTGTTGTTGGGCTCTGATAATTGCGTCAATTATTGACAGTAGAAGTCCATCATTTAGAATAGTTTGCATGTGAAACGCATTATAAAATGTTATTGTCAGTCCCTGTATAGGCTTTAATTTAGGCTAACTGATTGTGTTTTTATGTGCAATATTTATCTACTGTATTTAAAAATTAAACAATTGTTAACTAGAACTGCCACTATCATGGCGTGAATACCCCCGCATACCACTTTGTCAGAATCAACAGTGGCAATTTAGAGCTCAAGGATAACCTCCCTGCCAAATCTGAGGTTACTAAGCCAGTGCATTGCTAAGTTATGTATTCTACATGCTTCAAATGTGAAAATGTCAAAATCAATACATTGCGGACAGGACATTCTTTAACAATTGAGAAGAAAAGCTTTTTTTGTCAAGGTCCCTGTGACCTTGACCTTTGACCCAGTGACCTCAAAATCAATAGGGGTCACCTTATAGTCATGATCAACATCCATGCCAAATATGAAGACTGTGGGTCAAAGGAATCTTAAGTTAATGGGTGGACAAACTTTTTGAAGTCAAAGTCCCTATGACCTTGACCTTTGACCCAGTGACCTCAAAATCAAAAGGGGTCATCTACTTATCATGATCAACATCCATGCCAAATATGAAGACGGTGGGTCAAAGGAATCTAAAGCTATTGGGCAGACAAACTTTTTGAAGACATAGTCCCTGTGACCTTGACCTTTGACCTGGTGACCTCAAAATCAATAGGGGTCATCTACTAATCATGACTAACCTCCATTCCAAATATGAAGACTGTGGGTCAAAGGAATCTTATGTTATTGGGCGGACAAACTTTTTGAAGTCAAGGCCCCTGTGACCTTGACCTTTGACCTGGTGACCGCATAATCAATAGGGGTCATCTACTAATCATGACTAACCTCCATGCCAAATATGAAGACTGTGGGTCAAAGGAATCTTAAGTTATAGGGCGGACAAGCTTTCTGGAGTCAAGGCCCCTGTGACCTTGACCTTTGACCTGGTGACCTCAAAGTCAATAGGGGTCATCTACTGATCATGACTAACCTCCATGCCAAATATGACGACTGTAGGTCAAAGGAATCTTAAGTTATTGGGCGGACAAGCTTTTTGAAGTCAAGGCCCCTGTGACCTTGACCTTTGACCTGGTGACCTCAAAATCAATAGGGGTCATCTACTAATCATGACTAACCTCCATGCCAAATATGACGACTGTAGGTCAAAGGAATCTTAAGTTATTAGGCGGACAAGCTTTTTGAAGTCAAGGCCCCTGTGACCTTGACCTTTGACCTGGTGACCTCAAAATCAATAGGGGTCATCTTCTAATCATGACTAACCTCCATGCCAAATATGAGGACTGTAGGTCAAAGGAATCTTAAGTTATTGGGCGGACAAGCTTTTTGAAGTCAAGGCCCCTGTGACCTTGACCTTTGACCTAGTGACCTCAAAATCAATAGGGGTCATCTACTAATCATGACTAACCTCCATGCCAAATATGAAGACTAAGGGTCAAAGGAATCTTAAGTTATTGGGCGGACAAGAAAAAACCGACGGACAGCCGGACGGACGGACAAGCTGATTCCAGTATACCCCCCTTACAACTTTGTTGTGCGGGGGTATAATTATTTGCATTTTACTGTTTTTCTTTTTCAATGTTCTTTTTTTATTCTGCTCAGATCATGCCGTTATGAAAAAAACTTCTTTTGCCATAATGATTATTTATTCAATCCATGTGTTTAATTAACAAAATAAGATTTAATAATTCATCTTTCATTTACAAATAAAACAACAAATCATAAGCATGAAAAACAACCACGTTATAACATGCAACTATGTTACAACATAATTTTACAGCTGTGATATGACATTATTTTACAGCTGGTGATATGGCATTATTTTACAGATGGTGATATGACATTATTTTACAGCTTGTGATATGGCATTATTTTACAGCTGTTGATATGACATTACTTTACAACTGTTGATATGACATTATTTTACAGCTGTTGATGTGACATTATTTTACACTTTTATCACGATTACAACGCTTTCATTACCTTCGTATTAATTTCTTTTACAAAATAGCGAAGCAGCTTTATTAAAGTGAACACACAAGGAAAAATGTGTGGACTTGGTTAAAATCCTTGTTTAAAGAAAAAAAATAACATATGCATTTTTGACTTTAATATAATTTTGAAAAGTGCCGTACGGCTAGACAATACAGTGTGTCCTGGCTAGTCGTACGTGACTCACGTATTAGGCTAGCCACTTCCATAAAATAAGCCAAAAAAATTCCCTAAAAAGTGACCTGAACCATCCTGGAATCGAACCAAGGTCGCACGATTCACAGTCCAATGCTATATGTATTCAGCTAACCAGACGGCTTGTCGCGGGACTTTCCCTAATTAATATATAAATAATTTATTTATAAAGTAAATTTTACTTTATTCATATGAAGTGGGTGGGGTATCATCACAAATTTTTTTACATGTTGGGGATGGTCATTTACGCAACTTTAACAACCGCATGATTTAAGGATGATTGATGTACAAATGTATTAAAGATAAATATTTGTTAATATTCGATTTATTATGGTAATGCGCATATTTTTGATTGACAGCTGATATTTTCTGTTTCTGTCTGTTGTCATGAAACTTCGGGTTGTGTGCTATGTTGTTGAAACTTGTTCTGGACTCACAACACATATTTTGAAGAATTAAGTAAATAATAAATATAAAACATATACCATTGACATGTTGTAGCTAAGAATATATGACTAGTTTCGTGTGTGCTCGTCTTTACAAGAAAAAATATGACAAGCGTTATCTGTGTTTTCAAACGTTATTTTTCGAACTATCAGCCAATGAGATTTCTCGTTACAAACTTCTTTTGTTCAGTTCATTTATTTATTTTGTTCAAATAATTTTTTTCATTGTAAAAATGATATTTTGGTATTCGAAATAGGCTGTGAACAATTTAATGGTTTTAAAAATATTATGAAAAAGCAATTAAAAAAAATTGGTATATTTCTGCTGACGGGTGCAAGGAAACCCGGCCCCAAGTCAATCCGGTCTAAGTCTCTCAATCCCGGTCCCGTTTTTTTTATCATTTATTGATCAAGTGCTACTTTTCCTTCATTTACTTTTTCTAATCAAGAAAAAAGGAAATAATTATCAAGATATGAAAAAAGATTGTGTTTCTTGAACCCTTTTGTATGTACACTTGATTATGTCTGTAAAAATTATGAAATGGTATATATTGTGTGTAATATATAATTAAACTAGAAGCACATTAGCCGTTGTACGTAGTTAATTTAACTAATTAGTGTGTTTTTTATGCTCCCCGAAAAATTTCGGGGGAGCATATAGTCGGCGCCTTGTCCGTCTGTCCGAGCAAACATTTTGGGTTTAGGGGCTATATGTAACAGTAAAGAGAACAAAAGAGAACAATAGGTTCATTCCGTGATCAAAGGGTTTATGGGCTAGTAGCCCTTAAGAAAACAAAGAAAATAACAAAGAAAATAGTCCCTAAACCCAAAATGTTGGAACGTCCGTCTGTCCGTCTGCCCGTCCGTTGTCTTGTCCGGTTTGTTTGTTTGTTTGTTTGTTTGCTTCATTTCACGCCTTTTTTCAACAGTATTTCAGTCATATAGGCGGGTAGTTTCCTAACCATCGTTCCTGGAGAGTTACACCAGTACTAGACTACCTTCCTCCGCGCTAAACTACCAAAGCATCTCCCGGGGATCGAACCCACGCCAGAGAGGTAACTGGATTAGAAGTCATCGACTCTAACCCCTCGACCACGGAGGCGGTCTGGAGCATAACTTGAAACCCTTGGAGATAATTTGTTTAAACTTCATACAGTGGTAGAGGGCATTGAGGGGGAGTGCAGTGTCAAAGAACCATAACTCTAATTTGCCCGGTTTTTGAATTATCTCCCCTTATAGAAAAATCTTGTCCGGAATATAACTCTAAAACTATAAGAGATATCAAGATTAAACATTGTAGGTAGATAGATCTCATTGAGTAGAAGTGCAGCGCAAAAGAACCATAACTTTGTTAAGCCTCATTTTTTTAATTATCTCCCCTTTTAGAAAAATCTTGTCTAGGACATAGCTGTAAAACTGTAAGAGATATCAAAATGAAACGTTGTAGATAGATACATCTCAATGGGTAGATGTGCAGTGCACAAGAATCATAACTCTGTCGTGCCTATTTCTGGAGTTATTGCCCTTTGTTTATTTTTACTTTTTGAAGTTGTCCGGGACATAACTCGGAAACCATAAGAGATATCAACAAGAAACTTTGTCGGTTGATAGATCATATTGATTAGAAGTGCAGTGCAAAGAACAGTAATTCTGCCTTGCCTAATTTTGGAATTATTGCACTTTGAACTTTTTCCATGGACATAACTCTAAAACTACAAGAACTGTACTTTCCTGTGTCCAAAACCTATTCGGGGAGCATCACCCGACTCAAACCGGGCTCTTGTTTATTGTTATTCTTTGTCTATAAAGAAAAGTAAAGGAGACGATTAAGAAAGTCTTTGAAGATATTTCTTTGTACTTTTTATCTTCTTGAATAGAAAAAGCTAATAAAAAGTAGTGTTAAAAACAATAAATAATTAAACGTTTCTCTTCTCCTGAACAGGGGTCTGTAGGGGCCTACATGTAGAGGCGGTATCTAGAAGGACTATTGCCAACAGCTTTTTGGGGCATGTGAAACAAGAAAACACACAGAGTAAGTCATAAAATATTTTCATGCGTTATATTATTTATGCATTGAAATAGGAATATATATTTTCGAATTTACTTTGAATAAAGACACGATTTATATATTGAAACTCTTACATATATATTCTTAGACGCTTGTGGCTATATAAAGTAATAAAGGTGTTTGCAATTTAAGTTTTGGTTTAAACCTGGGATAAAAAATATCTTCACTCAATTATTCAATTGCTCTATTAATTTAATGATCTCACATGATTTTTTAAGTATCGTATATGAACGAACCTTTGACAGAATAACTTTAGCACAGTAGCATAATAGATCTAACCTTAATAGCAACAGCGATCGGGTTAACACCCACTTCCATAATAACATACAATTATGAGTAGAACTTTTGAGATTCAAGATAATTGTGAAAAATTTCAATTGAAATTGCTTTATTTACACTGTATGTTCTCAAAACCACAAACCTCACATCCATACATCAAGGTCGGTGCTATCATGGAATTAAATAAATGCAACTGATAAACTAAGTTTGCGAGATTTTCTTATCGCTGAGAATATTGCTTTTCTTGCTCAACTAATCTTGCATTAGATTTGACAAAGCTACCATTGTAATTTAAGGGAACGCCAAGGTAAGAACAATCACTAACAATCTCTAGTTTCTTTCCATCATACAAAAAAACTCGCACGCACACACACACACGCACGCGCACGCACGCACGCACGCGCACACACACACACACACACACACACAAGCATGTCTTATTTTACGTTTTGTATTTTCATTTACATGTTAGTCCCAGAAAGTACAATATACCAGGTAGCATTTAAGGCATTTTGAAGATCACTTTGACTTTTAGCATGCAAAACAGTATCGTCAGCAAACAATAACAGAATATTCTTAAACTTACTTCAACATCATCTATGCTAACACCTTCAAAAGTGCATCTTGACATTGAGACTAGGCCTTTAAACTTAGTGACCATGTATTGTATTAAATCATTAAAAAAAGAAAACAGTATAGGAGACAAGTGTTCACCCTTACGAACACCAGCATTTACTTATAAAAAACAAAACAAAACAAAAACACAAAAAACGATAAAGTAATATTTGCACATGTTGTAGGTTTACTATACAAGTTACAAATTATTTCCAGGCATTTAATTTGCCATCAATATTATGTGATAGTAGTTTGCTCCATAGATGTGCACGATTAACAGAGTCAAAAGCTTTTTTATAATCCAGATCCAAGATAAAAAAGAAACAAGAAGTATTTTCAACGAGAATATATGATCACTTTACCATATGATTTGCGACATCCAGGTTGTTCCTCATTAAGTTATGACACTCTAAGTAAGACTTTAGTCTTGTTTTTATAACATTAGTTAATAATTTACCAAACAACTTAAAATAGTTATACCACGATAACTATTTGGATCATTTTTGTCACATTTATTTTAGACAATAGTAATATAATTCTACATCTGGGAAAATTCCGGAGTCAAAAACAATGTTGAACAATTTTCAAATAATAGATACAATGTGATCATTGTTTGCATATTTGAAATATTGATTTAATATGTTATCAAAAGATGAAGCACTCTTATTGTTCTTCAAGCCTCAAATAATTTTAAATCTAAAATTTAATTCTCAAAGCATCAAAATCAAAACCAGACTCTGTGTCAACCTGGTTAGACTCAACCTGATTCAATTTTTTAAAATGTTCAAAGAACACTTGACTAGAAATTTTATTTGAGATGTCCGTTCTGTCTGAGTATTTGCTTATTTAACTTCAAAAAGCCTAAGGGACATTCGACTATAATTTTTTAAGTTTACAATTTTAATCTTGCTGATATAACCTTAGTTTTCTACTGCATGATAACTTTCTTATACATTCCACTACAATATAACATCCAATTGATGTTATCTAAGACTAAAGAATTTATTCTTCTGTAATATTTTTTTATCATGATGGTAATTTGTACGTGTAACTTTACTATCATTATCAAACCATTCCTTATGGACATGGTTTTTAACGTGTTCAGGTTTAAAACAATTTCTATTATCAAGATTACAACGATCAGCAGCATCCAAAATAAAATTTGACAACTTATCAGTTATCTCATTTACACTAACACCAGAACAAGACTTGTAACATAACAGACATTTCACTATCTAAACTCAACATATCGGCTTCTTCGAAACTGTACATAAATTTGTGTTTCACTATATTATTCCATGTTACCGGTGCCCGATATTCCCGTGGTACTTAACTTTTAATAGGAGGCACTTGTGGCTGTTTATGCCTAATACCTTGAAATGAAATTATGGGTACCACGGAAATATGAGGCACCTGTATATTTTTATAAAAACACTATCTTCAACAACAATGTCATTACTAACATTTGACATTCACTATACAACTTAAATTGCAAAAGAAATACAAGCATGAATGTAAGACATAATAGGTTAATAATCATGTACGGTAAAGACGTTAATATGCAAAAAGTTACATAGTGATAAAAGAAAATCAATAAAACTCGTATTTTATAAGTGTTTTACCTATATATGCATCACTACCACAACGACCATTCGCAATTCATAAACCAAAAGATTAACACTGGACGATACCCATAATAAGACGCCGCGTTTTAGCCGCCGCGTGTACGCGGCGTTTAGTAGATATGCATTTGTCCATACAGCAATGGGGAAAATATTAGACTTGATTTTGTGTATTTTTTTTTTGTTTTAAAAAAATTACTGTTTTCAAATTTTCTAATAAAAATAGCTTTTTTACAACATGTCACAGAGCTTTAAGGGATTAGAATAAACGTTTAACTGAAGTGATAGCGACATGTTTGAATATCATATTACTCATGATTATTAACCTATTATCTAATTTTATCATGATTATTAACCTATTATCTTATTTTATCTACATAGTAATAAATAACGTGCCAAAGAGCCAGTCTATAGTCGATCGTTCTAAAACTTAACCGTTGAGAGAGGTAACGACTGAGGCAGTGTCACTCACTTCATTTGCTCCGCCTCTGTTGAAGTTCGGCTCCGCCTTAAATTGTCGCCAAATTTAATATGATGCTCCGTATGCTAGCATTTAGTCTTCGTTGACGGGGCGGAAGGGAACCAGGACAACTTTGATCAATATCACTTGTCGAA